CAACAAACAGCGTAGCTCTGATGTGTGAATTGTGTCTCAGTGGATGAAGATAAACTACATACTTGACATACTCATACACATAAAATGTCAACGTACTGAAGTTACCAGAACACACGCACGCCCAACGCAAGGCTGCGAACGAACATAGCATATATCGAACAAACGATCTCATACGCAGACAAGACATCCATCTATACACGCGCCAATACAATCACATATACATTTACACAAGCGGACAAATACATTAGAAATACGCACATCCTCACACATACGTTGTAATATGGTCCTGGGTTGCATTTACATACTGTCACAAGTAAGAAATATAACCCAAGTACTAGAGACATGCACCTATGCCCACACATACGTCGCTATTCGGTCCTGGTTGTTGTATTCCTGGGCCAGTTGTCCGTACAGCGGTGACGTGGCTTTGATGAGATTGTCGACAATGGGAGTCACATGGCATCTCTCTCGTTTCCGCTCGTTGATTTCTTTGAGCTCGATGATGCGGTGCTGTAGCTCCTTCTGCTTCGCTACCAGACTGCACGCGACACGGGTGTATACGTTAAAGATGAATAAGTTAAAGGTGTATAAGTTAAAAGGTGTATAATTTAAAAGGTGTATAAGTTAAAAGGTGTATACGTTAAAAGGTGTATTAATTAAAAGGTGTATAAGTTAAATATGTAAAGATGTATAAGTTAAAGGTGTATAAGCTAAAGGTGGATAAGTTAAAGGTGTATAAGTTAAAGATGTATAAGTTGAAGGTGTATAAGTTAAAGGTGCATACGCACAGTGTGACCAAGGGACAGTGGTACAGAGTGACCAAGGAGTGGTGGTCCAAGAAGACATGCCGTGGTAAGCAGCTCATACGTACACTCAAACGGAATACATACAACAACCAACTATCAACAATCAATCGTACGCAATGTATCTGAGGGGTGATGTGATATAATTAAGGTGCATGGGCTGTTCAATCGCATTCCTTGGTCTGCTAATTGCATTCAGTTCTCTGTTATATAGCAATCAGTTGCTCCGCACTGACCGATACGGTGCCCAGTGGAACAGATCTATTCGGCCATCGAGCCATTCAGAAGGCACACGCACTCACTACTAGTTTGCAGTCAGGTACAATGCATTGACAAGACACATACAGCACACACATCGTAACTGACAGATCTTCTCGTTTGAGTTTTGCTGAGAACAGTTGATATA